TTAGTAAAAGGTATTATGTTATATTTAAATATTCAAGAGTATGTGTTATACCTATAGTGTGTATATTATTATAATTACAAATTTACTGAAATAAAAAACTGAATTTAACACACTGAAAACAGATGGTTTTAAATGGACCATATGGCTCTACCAAATGGTACTTGATATGCATCCATAGATCTATAAATAGCTAAAGTTACAGCTTTCTTTATAACATGTAATAAGGAAAAGTTAAAAGGATATCTATTTAAAAACTATAAAATATGTTGCTTAAATCATGATACACCTTATTTTATTGTAACATTATGGGAAAAAGTATAAAATGAAAAAAAAACGAATGTTTATGTATTTGAATTCCTCCTTTCCAATTCACACATAATTTTACACATACACATATATATAGTAATACGAATATATACATAATACAAGTATACATGTGTTTTGCTTAAATATTTTATATTTTAAACTGTATATTAATATTATTTATTTTCAATAGATACTATTTGAACATAACTTTCTTATTCATTACTATGAAGACTTTAATTATTGTGATAATTTATTAACAAAGATAGTTTTCTTACCCATCAAAGAGTCATCAGTAATGACCTCTTAACTTCTTATCTCAATAACAGTATATTCAATTAATTGACCAAAGGAAACATTTCACACATTTTAAAGATACAATATCTACTTTCATAGTTATAATGGTGACACAATTTTGTTAAAATTAGTTCAAAAACATAATAATATGATAAAAGTAAACAAAAATGCATAGAAAAAATGGTGATATAGAATAAAATTCATGATTTCTTATTTCAGATATTTTTTTCTGTATATTGAAAGTAGTTAAGAATGAAGTACATGCTAATACTGTTTTTACAGTTACTTTTTATAAATGTTAACAATGCTAAAGAAATTACGTAAGTTTTACATTACTTAATATAGCTAAATAATATGATTTAAACTAGTAATGAGTTTTGAATTAATAGTACTGCATGAAACTTTAAAGCTTAATCATTATTAACATTTGATTATTTTTCATCTCTTTTACGAATTTTTATTAAATATTTTTAGTATAAATGAATTATTAAAATGTAATTTTCAGACATGAAGATATTAAAGATGCAATGTTAAGTTTAGTGCACATGATGCGAGATAACACAGATAAGTTAGAAAGACATGAAGCACGAGAACGTCAATTAGGAGAGCAGTTAAAGAAGGCAATTGCAGTATTGACAAAGCGTGTGTCAACAGCTGATGCCATAAAATTACAGTTAACTAAACTGGATGAAAAAGTAGTTGGAATTGAACAGTTAATTTTACAGGTATTTATAATATATTATGATAAAGGAAAAATGTTTAAACTAAAAAACATTTGCCACATCAATTTTTAAGAGAAAATTTATAATTGTATATTATTATTTGTAACATACTAAATACATCAACAAATGCAAAAAACTGTTGATACCTTGGAAGATTTAGAAAATCGTTTGGAAGGATGGTTCACAGATATTGAAAACAAAGTATCTGAAGTAAATACTCGTGCAGATGTCACATTACCTCCAGTTGACAGTATTTCTCCAGTTGTCTCGAAATTAAGTGATGTAGAATCAACATTAATAGAAAGAATTTCAAAAACAGAGTCACTTTTGAAATCTGAAGCAATAAAATTAAAAGAGGTCTCAAATATTCAATCAGGAACAACACAAGCACTATTGACAGAGGTAAAGAACATATTTAAATTTTCATTAAGAAACTTGCTAATGTTATATCATCTACAGATTCAGGATATTGGTTCGAGACTCAGTAATCTTGAAGTTTCATTGGAAAAAGTTAAAGAACAATCACAAAACATTAAAAAAAAATTACAAGAACC